AGACTCGAGTCATGATTCATTCTCTCCAGACAAGAGAAATAAGGGGAGAGATATGAATGATGGTTTTCAATTGATAATCAAATTTAAATTTAGCTAAATATTGAAGACAAACTAAGACAAACACACATCTGTATATAGGCTTTCTTGCTCAAATCCCAACTTTGGCTGTTACTTCTGTTATTAATAGCCCTGAAATGTGGGGTTATTTCCCACCCCCAATTCTCCAGGCAGCCTCTGGGTCATCAAGAACTATCATCAAGTACATAATTCATTTTTGGTAATTGAGTTGATTACAAAGAACAAGTTTCCATGCAGAATTTTATTCTACTTAATTAACTAAAATGACCCTTTCATAATATGTATGACATTCTCAACCAGTCTTCTGCCAAATTTTGATTAATGTGTACAATGTATTCTTGCTGTAACGGAGGACACATACTATTATATGTTATAAGGAGCACTGACCTGAGCAGCAACGCATCCCAGTGGAGAGCAAGGGCCGTCGGTTTATGCATGAGATGTTTCCTGGCGCCGGAGACTTTTGTGTTGTAAGAACAGAGCCAGGGCAGCAATCATTTCACTCCAACACGGTTACTTTTCTAAGTGTGGTAACTATGCATTTTTCATTATAAACCACTGTGATAATTTAGTAGAGATTATATTATAATTATTGTTGGCTTGTTGATAATATGTTCATAATATGCAGTGATTTCTGAGGGGTAGAGATCCATAGTTAATAATGGTTGGAATTAAGGATAAGGAGTACAGAGAACATACTTCAAGAAATTTGTAGCTGTATTGAAATAGTGGCTGTGCTACCCATGGCATTTGTAAACAGGGGTGGAATCATTCTAACTCTGTGAATTTGCTCTTTTAAAATGAGCTAAAGTGCCCTGGCTGGTGTAGCTCAGTGGATTGAGCGCGGGCCTGGGAACCAAGCAACGACGGTTCGATTCCCAGGCAGGGCACATGCCTGGGTTGCAGGCCAGTTCTCTCCCTCTCTCCTTCCTTTCTCCTCTAAAGATAAATAAATAAAATATTAAAAAAATAAATAAATAAAATCAAATGAGCTAAAGTTCATGAAAGCTGTTTTCTGATGGAAAATAGATCCCTTTTGTAAAAGCCTAACAGCACTTGAGCCTGTGAAAGACTGAAGTGATGTGCATGATTCAGGTGCTAACCCTATGATCTGGGGCTTATTCTAAATGTTGATGCACTATTAGGCGTTCAGTGTAGGAGCTTGGGACCAACCTCATGGATCAACCCACTCTACCTTGAAGCAGGCTTTCCTAGAAGATCAGTATAAGTTGGATGAGGTCAACTACAACTGGTAAAGCTTTGAAGCCACTGCAGTTAGGAGGAAAGAGAATCTGCTTCAGAACCATGTAAGATGGGTTAAAATCCTAACTCTGCTACTTATTTCCTATTAAAAAATTGAACTAAGAGGATTACAACTTCTCTGAAAGTAATTTCCTCATTGGTAAAAGAAGCTAATTATATCCACTCAATAAGAATTTCATGCGCAATGCATATAAAGCCATAGCATAGCACTTCCTGTATGTGGTCAGTGTTTGTTGCCTCAGTGAATGAAGAAGAGAACTGAAACCCATCAAGAATGAGAATAATCTCTCTAGGGGAATACAGAGTAGACCGATGAGTTTGACAGCAATTTGCTGTCTTAGGAAGTGGTGTAGTAGAGAGCTTCAGTTTGGAAGTCAGAACTTGAGTTGCTTTGGTTTGAATTCTGCCTCCATCTTTTCCTAGTTGTGTAACATTGGGGAGATCCCTTGACTTCTTAATCTCAGCTTTCTCCTCTTTAAGTGGTATACAAATAACATCTATTTTGTGGGATTTGTGATGGAAGTTAAATTGAGATAAGAAATGTAACAAGAAGCACTTAATAGTAATGTGCTTCTTCAGAGTTAGGTCAGAAAATAATGGTGCAGTGCAAATTTGTAGCCAGCAGCATGATTTAGGATAGTATTAGAATATTGCACCCTAAACTTTCTTTGGACTGTACTCGGTACATTATGTAGATGTCTTTTATGAGTTCCAATTTATCATTGTTTTTATTTATATTGACCCTTCTTTGAAATTTACATTTAGTAAACTAATTTGTGTAAATTAAAGATTTGAAACATAATTGTAAGCTCTATGCTGAATCATCATCTTTATTTTGTTGCATAAATAGAAGAGTAGAAATACTAACTCCTGGGCAGCCACATTTTAAAAACAGAGTTCATAGTGATTTACTTAACACCCTACACAAAGTGAAATACCACCAGAAGGGGATAACCGGTCAACCCAATGGAAACCAGGTTTTCAATCTCATGGTTTCCTAAAATTTTAGCAATATTAACAGGATAAAGATCAGAAAAAGGAAGCTAAATATGAGGCATCAAAATACTATGACAATTTGTAGAATAAAGCAATAATAGAATGGATCCAGACAGTGGTGGTTTTAATTTTTATTTTCACTTTTAAGCAGTGTTGAGAGCTAGTGGAAGCTAAAATAAGTGACACTTGGGGAAAGGAAAAACATCCCCCTTGAATGTCTTTAAAATCTATAATAATAATAATAATATAATAATATAAAGTGCATCTGGGCATTGCCTTCTGCTGCAGCTCTTGTCTGGCTCTCGTCCAGAACTTGTCAGGCTCTTCTTGAGTGCTGATGATTCATAGCCCAGCACCCTTTCATCTGAGCATTGCAGTGCCTTTTCTTCGTACTTTGGCAGTGATGCTACCTTGATGCTCAAAAATCTTTTAAAAGCAACACAGGCTTTCCTTGCATCGTGACAAATCGTTGTCTGCCAGTAATGAAGAAAGAAGTAAACTCGGTTCCACGATCATTGTAAACATACAGAAATAAATACCCCTAAAGGTTTTTTTTGTTTGTTTTTATAAGTTACATTTTGAGACCCTCTTTTTGAAAAGTCATCTGATCATCTTTCCTTATTTTCCCTTGTATAAACCAGCATGTTGCTTTCCAAAAATGCACGAAGCCAATGGAGTTTTCGTAGATCATTTGGTATTTAAGGACAGACTCAGGATTTTTAAAAAAGGAAACAGGGATATTTTTATTCTGATGTTTAAAAGTTAATATTTTATATACAATGGGTCATTTTATATGGCCCATTTGAATATCCTTTAATATGCCCTGATAATATTAACAGTGCTTCATACTCATATGGTGCTTTTTATACATTTCTTCATTCAAGGCTTAAAGCTGCTGTGTGAGGATAGCAAGGCAGATTTCCATTGTTGTTCCGAATTACATGTGAGGAAACTGAGGCTCAGGGTGGCTTATGACTCTCCCACTCAACCTGCAGGAGAAACTAGTCCATAAATATCAGTCTACTCACTCAAAGTTAGCGTTTCCACTTTTACATGTTGTATTTCTGAAAGGAATCTAGGCTTTGTCAGTGAAAATTCAGCAGGCAGCGTGAAGGTGGTAGTCTTTCTACTGGGCTGAACGTTGGTCCCCAAAACCCATGGAAGGTGTTTGTTACATTTGGGTGCTGCATTTTAAGGACAGCACTGGGAAACTAGGGGAACTTATGCCAGAATTAGCCAAAGGAATCAGGATTTTCCAGTCTGGAGAAAGGAGGATAGAGAGTAATATAGCTGACATCTCCAAATGTTTTACGGACTACCTGGTGGAAAAAGAATTAGATTTGTTCTTCGTAATTTCAGGCAGCAGAAGTAGGATCACTGGATAGAAATTACACAGAAGCAGATTTATACTCAATATAAGAAGAAAGTTTCTAACATTTAGAAATGTCCAAAAATGGGATAGACTAGCGCACCATCACTGGGACTCTCTGACTTGAAGATTATATGGCTTTATGGGTGTTGTATTTCAGCAGTAACACAGTTTTATGATGACCCTTCTGAGAGCTCAGGGAAGAATTTCTTCACTAGCTAGAAACACAGGCTTTTTCCCTAGGTTTTCCACCCTGATTTTAGAAAGGGGTGTGCAGAACAATTCCTGTGTCAGGTGTTACCGGTCCTGAGGAATACTGGTCAGCTGATGGGGAAAGGCACATTAAGTAACACAAAAAAGAAAAACTTTTGTTAGGTAAGAATGTAGCGGTGTGCATTTGTGTACATGCACATTTGCTTGGATGCATTTTAACTGTTTCAGGGTGAAGCAGCCCTGGCTTTTGTTGTTTTCATTTGGCTTGTTACTTTTCACCGTTCATCAGCCCAACCCTAGAGCACAACGTGCTGCAAGATTAAAAGAAATGGGTAGAAAATCATTCAAATTAGATATTTTCAATTTTCTTAATATAGAAAGGGGCAAAGCATCAAAAAAAAAGAGAGAGACTGGCTAAAACGAATTTGTGACATAAACAGATTTGCTAAGGGAAATACCTAATTAGAAGCCAAAATCTCCATTCCAGGGCTAGTTCAGTCACTGACTGCTTCATCATTATACATTAGGTTTTTATTGGCCTCCGAAGTGTAACTGTTGTCCTACAAGTTTTCTTAACAACTTTGAAATTTTATGATTCAGACTCTCAGTGTTGTGACTCTAGTTCTCAATTTGCTGTGCAATTATAACAAAAATAATTCAGTCATGTATTTGTTCTTTAAATTACTTATTTATCCAAAAACATTTATTAAATGAAACACTCTTTCAGAAATAAGAAAAGTTGGCTTCAATATATGTATTTTAAGGATGAAAAGAAAACAGCAAATCAGCATCTTTAATACTTAAAATGAATATGAAGGATTCACTCATTTATAATTCTATCATATTTGTTTCAAAATTTTAAAACAAATATAATGGAATTCCTGTATAAAATGGCTTTTTTCTTTGATTAGGAACAGTAGTATTTCAAACCAAGCCCCTCATCACAATGGCATGCGACAAAAAACGACTTAAAATAATAAATCTCTCTGTCCTGGCATCATAAAAGGCTCAGCCACCGGTTCCAAACACAAAGCTTTTCCTCTCCGTGTAACCTCAGCTTTTCCTTTCCTTCTTCCCACAGATTCCAGAAGGGTGACTACCACATTGACGTCTGTATCAATGACTACCTGGATGTTTTCTGCCCTCACTATGAGGACTCGGTCCCGGAAGACAAGACGGAGCGTTATGTCCTCTACATGGTGAACTTTGATGGCTACAGTGCCTGCGACCACACTTCCAAAGGGTTCAAGAGATGGGAATGTAACCGGCCTCATTCTCCAAACGGACCACTGAAGTTCTCTGAAAAATTCCAGCTCTTCACACCCTTTTCTCTAGGATTTGAATTCAGGCCCGGCCGGGAATATTTCTACATCTGTGAGTATATGCAGATTTATCACGTTGTGGGGCAGCTGCAAGAATCCAGAGTAATTTTTTACCCATGTTTCAGAGAACTGCAGCAAGCTGGACTCTGCATTACAGATGTCTCCTTGTAAATGCATATATCAGGGTCCCCAGATACATTAGCTGGGAATTGAGAGCACAAATTAGATTAAAGACACAGCGCCTCTCCCCTATGAAATTGCTTGTCAGCCTGTTCAGTGAACCACTGCTGACTTGTATTTCTTTTAAATGAAAATTGCTAGGACTTCTCCAAAGCTAAAGAAAAGAAAGAGATTCCTGAAAAAAAATTAACAGAAATAATTAAATTTACATAGCTTGGAGTCATTGGATTTCTTATTCAGGTGTCAGCAGTATCCTTTCAATCATCCACATTTTCAGTGAAGAAAGCCAAAACTCCTGCAAATGTCAGCATGCTGACGATAAATACTATCTTTGCACTGAGGAGAAAAGACAATTATTAAGAGCAGCTGTGCCTTTAAACAGGAAAGAGCGTGAAGAAGCATCTAGAAAGGGTTCCAAGGGACCTGGTGTAAGTGAGTTTCCCACCTGTGAGCCTTGAGTGACCCTGTCCTGAGAGAGCGCTGAAACTCTCTCAGCAGACCTCTGCATTAATCACACGGCCATGGCCCCATTTCTCCCTCGTACACACCATCGCTGCTTCCGGCATCATCCTAGTCGTACATGCCAGGCAAACACTTCTCTAAACTCTGTGCATAAGTCACTCGGGGACTTTGTTTGATGCAGATTTTGACTTACAGGATCTGAGGTGGGGCCCAAGACTTGGTGTTTACAAAGTTCCCCGGTGGTGCCGATGCTACTGCTCCCTGGACCACACCGAGTTAGCAAGGTGTGAGGTCATGTCTCATTTAGGCAGCTTGCTGTGTCTCTGGACTTTCCTTTAACTAGTATCAAATATTTACATGGTCTGGCCTTTCACATGTTTTCACTGTCAGCTGAAGGAGTTAAATGTTTGTTTGTTTAAAAGTACATTTACTGAACAGCATACCATGACTCAGAAGTGTTGTGGGGGGTGAGCAAGGCGAAAGTGTGCTGTCTGTCCTCCAGGAGTGACCGTCTAGCGGGGAGCGACATGTCCATAGGCAACCAAAGCGTAAATAGACAGTTGCTGAATGAAGACAAGCGCAGGGAGCAGTGGGACCCTGGTAGGGCCGACACCTCACCTGCCCAAAGGGCCAGGACCAGCAGCGGCACACGATATGTGGATCCACACGATGCCACCCCGTATGCTTAGCCCTGACTTTTCACTGCCCGCCCCCGGCCAGACCAGCAAGATGTAGCGCATTCCTGTTCTGACTCACTGCTGCAGTCAGGGTGTCCCCACCTACTCCTACCCCACATGTTTTAAGTCTATGAGGATTTCTGGCTCCCCTTCTTCTCCAGAAAACAGAACTTACATAATAAGCCGGATTTCACCATCACAGGGGCACTCTCACTTATATTGGAACTGGATTTGAAAAGGAAATTGAACAGTACCCGTTTTATTATTTCAGTGCATATTTCAGTCGTTAGTCATGAGAAAACATGTGAAAGCCTTGATACTATCTCACATTCGATCCATAAAATCAGAAAAGAAATATTGAGCCCCCGGGTGGAGGAAACACTGGTGTGCAGTGAGTTCACACATTCTCAGGCAGCAGGCTGTCTCGCCTTTTGCTGAGTTTTTACTTGGTGAGAGAATCTCATTCAGCAAATGAGAAAAAGAAAGGACGAGGATTTCATTGTGGAGTGGAACTCATTAATTGCCTAACTCTAAAAGATCATACCAGCATAGGAGAAAATTATTGCATTTCCAAATTTTCATATTGGTTTCTCAGGTTAAAAAACAACAACAAAAGCAAGGCCCCAAAATGAATAGCAAGCACCAAGATGGGAAACATACATACCAGCTAACTAGTTGATTGCATGATTATTAGAAATTACAGAATCCATTGAGGTTCATAAGCAAGATGTTATTATTCAAATATACCCATAGTGCTTATGACTCGTTTTTCTCATTTGTGGTTAAATTCAATATTTCACTAAAAACCATTATGTGTCTTCTATAACATTCATTTAACGGAGTCATTTAACTGTCAAGGGCTCCTGTCAAAGTAATTGTTCCAAAATGCTTCAAAATACTGAGAGCTTTTTGCTGTTCAGCTGAGTTTAACCTGAATTACATTTTTTAATGAAAGGTAAAATAGCACAAAATTAGCAGTGAGGAGATGTTCATTTACAAGAAGCTCAGTGGCCTGTAGTCGGTTAAATTGAATTTTGAACCGTGTTTTAGAACCACAAGAGCATCCTTTCCTGTCTTTTTATGAGTGAAAGGGTTTTCTCTCTCTTTCTTTCATTGCTGAGAGCTGGAGCAACAGAGCGAATATGCGTCCATACAGACGTTTAATGTACTGTGGTCATAATTACACTAAAGGATTCTTAGGGGAGAGTTGGCCCTCAGTTGAATTTTCCTCTCTTCTAGAATGTGTGGGATGAACAAAGAGATTGGGAAATGGCTCTTTTCACACTTACTGTGTCACAAGAAGCTCTAGTGCTGATCTCAGGAACAAGCTGACTGCCTACCAGTCAGTTTTTCAAATGTTCTTACTAGAGGCCAGAGGTAGATTTCAGCTCTTCACAGCCTTAAAATCTCTTCCAAGTTTACCAAGAAAAAAAAGAAACCTATTGCCAAAAGACTGTCCTGCTTTAGTGTGTTAGAGGAGGGGTTGCCTGTAGCAGTGAGAGGGAACCAAAATTCAGCCATAAACTTGGATTCGTGAGAAAGAAAGAGGAATAAATCATAACAGGATACCCACTGCACCACTTAGACCCAGAAAGGACATAGATTAGAGAGGTCTTGTCAGGTTCGGCTTTATCCTTAACAAGATTTATTTCCTGCTTCATTTCCCTGAGGTATACAAAGTTAAGAAATGCAGTAGTTGGAAATATCTCAAATCAAGTTTCCAATTTACCTTAAAAATAAAATATTCTTCACAGTTCTAGATCCTTTATTTTTCCCCAAGAATGACTCTATGCTATGTCCTTTTTTCTGTGGGAACAGGCAGTCTGTTAAGTTGTTATAACTGATTATTGCTAAGGCAGACTGAGCCCATTTTTGAATCTGACAAATAATGTTTTTAATCTACAGGAGTTATTTTGGTAAGTGGATTGGCATACTAAATTACAGAAAGTTGGTAGTATTTCTATCAGTGATAGATTTGGAGAACTACCCGTCAATAGGTTATGGCAATAGTCACAGATTTCCTAAGGCAAAGAGTTATTTTAGAAACTTCAAAAATACTCATTTTAGAAATGATTCTCATAAATATTAACCAATGAGAATAAGTTTGAAAGAAGTTCTGCTGCTGCTATTTTTAAATTAGAAAAGGCAAAGGAGAATAAATAAGGAACAACAAGTTATTTTTGTGAGTCAGTAGAAACACTGATTTTTTTTAACACTGATTTTGAATATCACCTTTTGTAAAGTAAAGAAACCTGAGTCTAAGCCCTTCTCTTGATTTAAATGGCTATATGATCTTGGGTAAATCATTCACTCTCTCTGGATGTTCAAGTCCACATTGTAAAATAATATGGTTGCAATAGATGATTTCAAACATTTCTTGGAGCTTTAATACCTTAATCTTACTCTATTTTACTGAAGGGGCTGCGCCACTAAGGTAAGAGAGAACATCTGTAAAATGGCCCAACCCAGTGCCTTTTCTCTACTTAGTGGGTGTTCAATAAATGCCAGTTAATAGGATATTTAGGGAAAATGCAGAGCGGAGAGGCCTATTAGGTATTAGAATTATTAAACCCCTGCCATGCTGTTTAAACCATCATCTCCACTAGCGCAGCAGACACCTGTTTTCCTCAGGCAACTCACCGGCCACTCTGTTAAAACCCTCGAGTGGCTGTCTTCCTGTCTCACCAAGACAGAAATTTAAAGCCTCTAATCTGGCCAACAAGGTTCTCCTTGGCAGGTACTCCTCTCTTCCTCACCTTCAGCCTCTTGGACTTTTCCGCTGACCCATCTTCGCCCTGTGGGCCCTTCTCCGGCCACCTGCCCTCCTTCCTGTTCCACATACTGCCTGTGTGCCCACACCCTGGACAGCAGGGCCTTCCTGCTTTCTCTGTACTGGGCCTGCGGATCTCATTGCCTCAGGCATCCAGCTCCTTGCCTGTCACTTTCTTAAGTCTACACTAAAAAAAATAAAATAAAATAAAAAACCCAAACAAATCATCTTTACCAGACAAGCTCTTCTGTCCCCCTATGGCAAGATAACACTTCTATCATTCTCTACACTTTTTCCCTGCTTTATTTTTCCTCAAGCACTCATCACCCCCAACGTTAGATATCTCTGGTTGTTCACAACTGCTTCTGTTCTATGCTATGGATTATATTGTTTGGCATGTAGTAGATGTTGAGTTAATGAGACTAATTAATGTTTACATAGCACTCACTCTGTTCCAGGTACTGTTCTATGCACCCTATGATTCTTAAAACAATACTATGAGGTACAATTCTTCCTATTTTACAGGTGAATAAACTGAGGTACAGAAAAGTTAGGTAACTTGAAAAGCTTTACATAGATAGGAAGTGGCTAATCTGAAAGGAAATTGAGTAAGCAACCAAGGAAATGAAGAGATAAAGCCCTAGGTATCAAATGTTTAAAAGGGGGAAGAAAACCTTAATATTGTATTTTAAAAGATGGGAAACAATTAGCACTGATGCTTAGAAAATACTACTTTATGCACTGCTAAAAACCCAGTCAGATAGTAGCAAGATGCATTTTAAACTTAGTTACATATTTTCAGCTCTCCAAAGGATACTTTTCTTTCTCCAAAAAATTGCAGCTGTATCTTCCTAGATGGTTGATCCTTTTAATATAACTTCAGAAGCCAGAAAAGTTGTATTTTCAAAGAAATACTTTTTAAATCCACTAAATATTTAACATGCAAGCTGAGTCATGGGGGCT